TTTAGGGTTAGGTTAAGGGCTAGGTTTAGGGTTAGGTTTAGGGTTAGGTTTAGGGTTTACAGCATGCTTCTGTCTCCGCGCTGTTGTCGCCCTGTTGATGACGTCAGCGACGCGGTTTAGTCGGGCGCCCTTTTGTCGATGAACCGAAGGGGCAGCTACAGTGGAAACCCAGGGCTGTAGGACAGACTGGGAGATTTAAAAAAAAAGCAATCCCCTTCCAGACTGTTGTCAAAAAGATCTACACAGATGTGTTGAGAAATCACCAGGAATTGAGCTTGTCTTGCTTTAATTTTTAAAAAAAGTTTAAAAAATTTTTTAATTTTTTTTTTACTTTTTAAAATAATTTTGAAAGTTTAGATTGAACTTTTCTGCCCCCACACCTAAATGGTAAGAGATACTACTTACTGTGGGATCTGAAACTGACCGATAAAAGCAACAGTATGAATCTTTTGGAAGATTTGTTACTTTTGATGTTCTGCACCACTCATTCCATAACTGGGCAGATCCAATCAGCTCCCAGCTTCCAGAATTCAAAATAAATGAAGACAAGAATGCTGTGGGCCAAATGAGATGTATCAGATGAATCACTAGACTGTTCTGAATTTATATTAGCAATCATTATTAGCAAAACTAAGCACTGCACTTCGATTTACAGAGAGACCACGATTCACAAATTATTTCAGTTGATAGAAACCAGCCAACAAGTTCCCACATGCTACAGATAGTCCTCGACTTACGACCACAATTGAGCCCAAAATTTCTGTTACTAAGTGAAATGTGTTTAAATGAATTGTGCCCCATTTTACGACTTTTCCTGCCACCCTTGTTAACAGGTGCAGTTGTTGAGTTAGTAACACGATTGTTAAATGAATCCGGTTTCCCCATTGGCTTTGCGTGTCAGAAGGTCACAAAAGATGATCACATGACTCTGGGAAACTGCAACCATCATAAATATGAGTCAGTTGCCAAGCATCTGAATTTTGATGACAAGATCTTGGGGATGCTGCAATGGTCCAGAAGGGTGAAAAACGGTCAAAGGTCACTTTTTTTCAGTGCCGTTGTAACTTCAAACGGTCACTAAATGAACTCTTGTAAGTCGAGGATGACCTGTACTTCAGTGCTGAAAGAAAGAGTGGCCATCTTGCACTACTCACCTACTGCGTTGCCTCCAACACCCAAGATAAACTTTGAGCAAGGGAACTTTTCTTCTGCTGATATATTTGAGGTGTTCCAAGTGATAGAAACGTCTCTAAGTATCAGAAAAGGGACATGATTAAAAAGACCTGAACAAAAGGCTACAGGGGAAAAAAAAGTGAGTTACCTCAGAGAAAAGCAATTTGCAGTGTGGAATCTTTGGTGCTCTCTGAGCTTAGCTGTTTTCGTGCAGGCTGGCAAATAATTTCGATCTCGCGGACCCCTGAAAGGCTCTTGGGGGGGAAACCCCGCTGTAAGGAACACTGATCTAAATCAACTAACAATGATTCCAGATCCACGTGCGATATAGCACCTCTCCCAGCTAGAGTTGGGTGCGTTTTTCAGGGGGAAGCAACCCTTCCCTCCGTGCCAATCTTTAAAAAAATAAATAAATGCCATATTCTGAACTTGCTCGGAAGCGAAGCGTCCCCCCACATTCCCTTCCCCAATGTTTTCCTCGCCCGCGGGTCCCTCCCGCTCGCTACCTTTTCTTCTCCAGCGCCAGCCGAATCTCACGGTCCTCCTGAGTCTCCTCGCGCTCTTCTGCGAGCTCCTCCTCGTCATCCAAGCCGGCGCGGGACGGCGGTGTCACCACCTCCCCAAAAAACGTAGCCATCTCCGGTGCGAGCGAGCCGACTCACCGAGCAGCCGCCGGAGAGCTGCCGAAAAGCGCGTCTCCTTCCGGGTTAAAGCCAAACAGCGGCGGGATCGTCGAGGATCGTCGCCTGGAGCTCAGCGAGCATGCTCGCCTTCAGTTCGGAGAATGGCTTTTAATTTGTGGCATGCTCCGGATCTTTGGCAGCGCCCTCGGGTGGGCCAGAGCCGGATTGTTTACGATCAGAGCACTTTTGCCTGGTCTTTTAAAATGCCTTGCGATTCTGTGTGGTTGAGTGGGTGCGTGTTTGAAGGGAAGGGAATCCAAAGCACCTGAAGGCAGGACAAGAAGCAATGGGTGGAAACTAATCAAGGAAAGAAGC